CAATAAAATAGAGCAATGCATTTGCCTTGAGTGAATCAAAATCATGTACTGCAGCTAAAACAGATCCATGTATCAATTTCTATCGGCTCTGCCTAAAGTGTTTGGAGGAAAACTTTATCATAAAGACAGAATTTTTATATCTCACATAGATTTCATATAAAGGTTATAATCTTTTAAAATTTTTTTAGTTAATGATATGAACTTTTTCTTAGACTAAACAAAAACTTCATCCTTCTTTAATAAAATCATAAATATTTCTTTTATTGGGAACTTTTAAAAAATTATAACCTTAATTTGTAATAAAAAAATATAATATCTTTAATTTGAAAATTTTTTTAAAGTTGTGCTCTTATTTGTAGAAATCTCAAATTCCACATTCCCCGAATTTGTTGCCATGTCAAGCCTTGCAACATTATCACTGGATTAGTTCCAATCACTTGATTAGTTTGTAATTACTAGTAATTTAATTACAATAGAATACAATAAATTTCGAGATTAAAATTTTTTTACCTAACATATTGACTAAATTGGGTCATTAAATTTATCTCTTCCTAACTTTCAAATTACTATTTTTTAGCAATTATTACTATATTTAAAAATTAAAATTTTCACATGGTAAAATTTCAATATATTAAATTAAATTTAAATAAAATAATAATTATTAAATATATAAAAAGTAAAAATAAAAAACTCAAAATCAAAATCATCTTAATTATTTTTGGTTAGAAGTTAGTTTTCTGGTCCGGGTTAGTCGCTGGCCCTCTCTTTCGACATGTGAAGTTTCCAACCATTTCTGCTCAACAATTGGTTAGGGTTTTGGCCCATTTCACATCTTTTCCCCTTTTTTATTTTAGCCTAAAAAAAAGGGAAGAATAAAACGGAGCCCAGTCCACCAAAATAAAAGGAGAAAAAAGAAAAAAAAAAAAAAAAAAAAAAAAAAGGAGAGTATGCACCGCCGCGCCGTACAATTGCCAGAAGCCAGGGAATCACTGGATTCCGGCCGAGTTCCGACCTAGCACTGCAGTTTCCGGTGATAAATTCAAGAAAATTTTCAGAAATTATCTTAAAAAAATTAAGAAAACAGATTGTAATCTAAACCAAGCTTAACGGAGCTTTTCTACATGATTATTTCATAATTTCAACTTTGTAATTGCACCAAACCAGAAGTCATTTTTCAGTCCGCGTCTGCATTCCGGAATGACCTGCAAAGCCCCGATGTGGAACTTGGAGTAGACATTCCGATGCTTAAGTCAGCAATAATCGGGGCTACCTTTAGAGCGGAGATAAAAAGAGTTTAGGGTTGATTTCAATTACCTTTTGACGTGGTCTAGGGGGTATTTATAGGATCCAATGAGGAACCCACGTGCTATGCCAAGTAAGATAATCAGAGTCTGACGTGTTTATCCAGACGATTATTTCAGGACCGAGAATTTAAGAGGTATTCAGGTGTAAGGACGTCCATCATACCTGCTGTGCAGCTCACCATAAGGAATCAGATGCGGGCATGCTTATTGTCATTGTCATGCAGCTATTTGAGCAAAAAGTTTTAGATTTATCCTTCACTTCGATCATAAAAAAATTACTGTAACAGTCCGAGACTTGACACCTCGAAGGTATCCTTACACACTTCTAAATAAATAAAAAGAATTCTCAATCATCAACAACCACCTATCACAATTTCAAAATAAAATTACAATAAATTTAACAACAAACTCGATTTCTAATCCAATATCAATGTGTGATTTACATAAAATGAACTGAAGCTAAAAATCCCTAAAGTCGGCAATAACGTTCAGATCCCGAAACCAAATTCGAACTTGCCTTTTGCCTTCGATTCCTCAAACCCGAAAATTCCAGTACTCTCTGAACTTACAGAATCCTTTTTTCACGCTCTATGTTTTTTTTTCTTCGTTTGCCTTCTTCTTCTCCTCTTCGTTCCCCCCTTCTGCTCCCCGAAAACCTTCTTTTATAGGCAAAATCCGAGGAGGTTGAAACAGAGCCCCAGCCATCCTATTACATTCTCGCAATCTCAACTGTTCTTCACCCTAGATCTGCCACCCACCTACACCCCCTAGATTCCCTGCAGCCTGCGAGTTGATCCAAGCGGGTGAGATGAAGGAAATGAACAGCTGATGTGGCGCCAAACCTTGCAATCTGATAGGAGGAAAATGCCAGTAGAAGTAGGAGATTAGTTTTTCTCACATGGGATGGAAAGGAGAAGTGATGGATGAGGGAGGAAGGGGGAGGAATCCCCTCTGGCCTCCGCTCTTGCCGCCCATCGTCTGCGAGTGAGCATATTTGTTTTTCGCCCCTACACCAAAACGACTTCGTTTAGGGTTTTCATTTTGTGCTTTAGCTCATAAGTTTCATCTCCCTGACACTTCTGTCCTTCATTTTAATGCGTATCACGATTAAGTCCCTGCAAAACAAAACACAGATTTTAAATGCTTTTCATGCAGTACAAAATGACATTAATTTTGTTGGCTCAATGCATTCCAAAAGGAGGGGATGATGAATTGGAGTTGGAAGATTTTCACCTCTTTGTAACCACCAAACAAAAATTAAAGAGAAAGTAGTGAGAAAGAGCTTACACAATGATTTTATAGAGGTTCGGTCCAACCACTTAAAGCCTAATCCTCTACCTTGGCTTCACTCATCGAGGATTTCCTCCACACTATCCACTAAAAAAAACAAGGGTGGCTTAAAGGAGCCACTTAATCCTTTTACAAAAAGAAGGGTATTTCTCTCAAATCTCACCCCTTTACAAGATAAACCCCAAGAATCCTCTTTACAAATCACTCATTAAGGAATTATCACACCCCCAAGATAACACACAAGTAGAATAAGAAGAGAATTACAAGTAAAGATCACTCAAAGATCAAATACTCAAGTTAAAGCACAAGTTAGCAGATAGAGATATTCAATACCAAACTCAAAAACTAATCCCATATCTACTACCAACCATATTTATAGCCCCTTGGTCGAAAATAGCCATTTCTAGCCATTGGGGGTCATTAAATGCTTAGCAGGTCACATAATTTCGAGTTGCAGATTTATCAGTACAGCCGACTTTAAGTCTAGAGCAGGCTCTGTATAGTTAACTTAGAATTCTGTAGTCGGCTTTGTGGGTTTCCTGCACATTCTATTTTCTTAAACAACAGGCTACAAAATACAAAGCTGGCTTTGGGATTTTGACTTTAAAAACATTAAATAATCTTCAAATAACTCGACTTTGTGCATTAAATGCGCTATCACAGCTGGCCGCAAAGTTAAAGCCATCTTTGCATCCGTTTTCCACGTGTGCCAAACTTCGGACTTAAAGTTTCACCCATAAAGCCAGCTGCAGATCTAAGAGCTGGCTTTCTACACTTGTCATCACCAGAGCCAACTATAGATTTCTAGAGCTGGCTCTTTGCTCATTTTTCAACCTTTATAGTCTTTTTTAATGCAGTCCAAGTTCACTTGCTTTTGTAATCTTTTGAAAGTTCAACTACATACTTAAATGAACAAATTAGTCATTCAAATGTGTTTTGTAATCATCAAAATCATAGGTACAACAATCTTCCCCTTTTTGATGATGACAAAACACTTTGAGAATAATTGATGAACACACATATATAATGCAATATTAATAGGAAATTTTAGCACATAAGTAGTCCAATATTGATAAGAAATTTCAACACATGTATTGCCCAATATTGAGAAGAAATTTCAGTACACTTTATCTTTCTCCCCCTTTTTGTTATCCATCAAAAAGTATATAAACATAATCAATAAACTCCTCCTTAATTAATGCATATCAACCTTTAAAGCATAAAAAATAAGTACTTTAAGAATAATATTCACAAATTGCTCCCCCTCAATGAAAGCACTTAAGATCATGATCATCAAAATCATAGGCAACCATAAAGTCATATACAATTAAAATCCACAATTCATGACAATAGGCTGAGAAATATGCATAGATAATGAGGGCAACTTTTGGGAGAGAATCAAATCTTGAATGTGAAGAGAGAAAAAAGACTAGATATTAAAAATCTATCACGATCAAGAGGTTTTGTAGTAAACAAAGATATCTCATTCCAAGCAACTATGAAGTCAAAAGATTCTCTCTCCTTTTTGTTATCCAACAAAAAAGTTTGAAGACCATATGAAGAGTAAACAATAGATTTCTCCCTTAATAAAATAACTCATGAAAGCATGAACATACTTATATAACAATCTCATTAAAGTCATACCAAGAATGTATAATTATCTATGATTTAAGTCATAAAGATCAATAAAAGATAAATGAAATAGCACAAATGTGATATATATACTCAAGATAAAGCAATATATATGTTCATCATACTCATAAAGAGTTTGAAATTGATAGGTTTACCTCTATTATTGTTAGAGCAATTAAATACCTCAATGGAGAGACCATTGCTTGTGCATCTCCTTTCTATGTTCCCTTTGATTGGTGAAGATCTCATCTTTGAGATAATTTCATTTGAAGTTCCAATACGTTTAATCGTCTCAAGTCTACTTAACATTGCTTTGGAAAATTCTTTGTAACAAAACTCATTAGTAACATCAAAAACAATGTTAATGCCATCATTAAGCATAACATATAAATTTTTTACCTTTAAGATGTATTACTAATAATCACATTACCTTTATAGGATCTCTCTTTTGGGTAGAATTATAACCTTTGTCTTTGTGCCTATTGCATCTCCTCAATCTTGTTCTTCTCACTTGCTTCACATGGAGGTTGTGTGATACTATTGCCTTCAGTGTTCAATCTTACCTTTGTTACCCAATAGCATCTACATCACAATTTCACAACTCTTTCTAGAGCAAATGGGGTTATTCTCATTGAATACCACATGAATAGATTTAACACTATTACTCCTTTTTATATGCATCATATCGTATGATAGCAAATATAAAAAATCTTATTCATTGAAATCAACCATGACTATGTAAGCATTCAAGTGCATGACATACACTTGCACATAATCAAATATCATCAAAATCATCCATCAAAGAGCAAACATACAAATTTGCTAATATACTTAACTTCCAAGTGTAAGACTCTCCCTAAGGTTATGCTTAACTTCCAAGTGCTATCATCAAAATCGTGAAAATAATGAGATAGATAAATTAGAGTGTGATAAACCATGTAAAGTAAGACAAGTTATTAAAATTACTCACTTAAATCAAATTATCAACCATCATCAAAATGGCATATATGACATTAAAAAATCACTCATACCATTAAGAGCTCATCATGAACTATATATTATAAATAATCAATATAATTATTCACATATATCAAGCATATAAATGTGATGAGTAATATATATATATATATATATATAGCAATCAATAAGGATGTATCAATACTAGAAAAGACATATCAAATGATATCATACTCAACAAGCATATGTCTCAAAGAGCGCGCACACAAACAAATAATTTATAGTTATGTTAATGTAATTATACTCAAATGAATAAATACAATAAGATAAATAATATCAATTTGAGCACATGAGCAGAGCATTCAAAAATAAATTTTTCTTTGCACTCTCACTCTAACATTCTTGTTGAGGCATAAGTTTTTATCAAGATTAACTTTTCTTTTCTTATGACTTTGCCATCAACTTTACCTACAAAACCAATCAAGTTTTGATCTTTAGTACCCAAATTTGCTTGGGTCCTTGGGAGTTAGTGCTTAAGGTTCCTTTTGGAACCTAAATTTGCTTCACTTTGCCTTGAGCTATCAATCTCTTCAAAGGACATACATAAGCAAAGTGTCCCTTTATACCACAACAATTGCAAGTAATTTTAGAATTAGAGAATTGACTTGCCCTTACAAAGAAGTTCTTAAAAGTCTTTTGCCTTTTAGAATAATCAAATCCAATACCCCCTTTGTCATAAATACTTCTTGGAGATTTAAAATAGAATCAAAATTTTCTTTAGTCAAGGTAAATTTGGAAATCACATTCTTAAGATCACAAACTTTCTTTTTCAAGTTTTCATTTTCCTTTTTCAAAGCATTACTAAATTCCTCATTCTTTAAAGATGCAATCTCAACATTTAAGGAGGCATTGTCTTTAACTAAAACCTCATTATGTTTTAAAAGAGATTCAATCTCATTTTTAAGCAATGAAATGGTTTTAGTAAGAGCAAGATTCTCATTCCCTAGTTTCTTAATATATTCATAGAGCAATCAAGAACTTTGCATAAATCATCATAAGAATACTCAAAGGAACTTTCATTAATTGAACTAGAGAAGTTGGAGTTTATCTCCTCATCATTGTAGTTATCCTCTTGAGCCATGAAGCAAAGATTTGCAACACCATTCTCCAAGGAGCTTTCACTTTCCATTATCATCACTCCAAGTGGCGGCAAAAGCTTTCTTCTTCATGCTCTTCTTGTCTTTCCTCTCACCCTTCTTCAATTAAGGGCATTCATTTCTATAATGCCCCATCTTGTTGCACTCATAGCATTTGATATGCTCCTTACTTGGCTTTCCTCCATAATCATCATCATTACATATTCTTCCTCTAGAATAGTGAATTTCCTTGTTTTTTCTAGAGGATTTCCCTCTGAGACTCTTTTTCATGTATTTCTTCACTTCCTTTGAAACCAATTTGGTGATGTCCTCCTCGTTGCTAGACTCCTCATTGCTAGCATCATTTTCACTTTCTTATTTTTGGTTGCTAGCCTTGAATGTAGCATTCCTTTTCTTCTCAACTACCTAAATTCCACCATAAACTTGAATATCCATCTCATATGTCATCAATTTTCCAATGAGATCATCAAGCTTGAGGGTGTTGAGATTCTTAGACTCTTCAATTGTGGTCTTCTTGGCTTCCCAATTCTTAGGCAAGGTTTTAAGAACCTTCCTCACTACTTCTTGAGAATGATAAACTTTAACAAGAGCCTTGAGATTTGTGACTACATCATTCAATCTTGTATACATATCTTGAATGCTCTCCTCCAATTTCATCTTGAAAAACTCATACATGTGAATGAGTCTATTGATTTTTTACTCCTTCACTTGGCTTGTTCCTTCATGTGTTACTTTTGACTTGTCCCACATCTCCTTAGCCGTATCACACCAGGAAACTCTATGGAATTCCTTGCATTAAGAGCACATTGAAGCATGTTGATTGCTTTGTTGTTGATCATGATCTTTCCCAAGTCTTCATCATTCCATTCAATTTCTTTCTTTGGCACCTCATTTTCTCGAACAACTTTCATGGGCACATATGGACCTTTCCTAGTCACAATCCATGCCCTAGGCTCATTTGCAAGCATGTATACCTTCATCCTATTCTTCCAATAATTATAATTAGTACCATTAAAGAAAGGAGGCTTAGTGGTAAACAAACCTTCAAGTGGTTGAGAATCTTGAAATTGAGCCATCCCCGATCAACTCCTAGGTTGTTAAACCTTCAAATTAGAGCCCTTGCTCTGATACTAATTGTTGGCTCAATGCACTCCGAGAGGGGGGTGAATTGGAGTTGGAAGATTTTCACCTCTTTGCAACCACCAAACAAAAATTAAAGAGAGAGTAGTAAAGAAGAGCTTGCACAATGATTTTATAGAGGTTCGGTCCAACCACTTGGAATCTAATCCTCTAACTTAGCTTCACTCACCAAGGATTTCCTCCACACTCTCCACTAAGAAAAACAAGGGTGGTTTAAAAGAGCCATTCAATCCTTTTACAAGAAAAAGGGTGTTTCTCTCAAATCTCACCCTTTTTACAATATAAACCCCAAGAATCCCCTCTACAAATCACTCTTGAAGGAATAATCACACCTTCAAGATAACACACAAGTAGAACAAAAAGAGAATTACAAGTAAAGATCACTCAAAGATCAAATACTCAAGTTAAAGCACAAGTTGGTAGGTAGAGATATTCAATACAAAGCTCAAAAACTAATCCCAAATATGCTACCAACCATATTTATAGCCCCTTGGTCAAAAATAGCCATTTCTAGTCCTTGGGGGTCATTAAATACTCTGCAGGTCGCATAATTTCAAATTGTAGATTTGTCAGTACAACCAGCTTCAAGTCTAGAGTTGGCTCTGTACAATCGACTTAGAATTCTGCAACCAACTTTGTGGGTTTCTTGCACATTCTGTTTTCTTCGTAGAGCCGGCTTAGATTCTTACAATCGGTTTTGTAGGTTTCCTACACATTTTGTTTCCTTGAACAGCCGGCTACAAAATACAAAGTTCGCTTTGGGATTTTTACTTTAAAAACACTAAATAATATTCAAATAACTTGACCGTTGTGTATTAAATACGCCATCACAGCTGGCTGCAAAGTTAAAGTCAGCTTTGCATCCATTTTTTTCACGCGCCAAACTTCAGACTTAAAGTTTTCACCCATAGAGCCGGCTGCAAATCTTAGAGCCGGCTCTGTACACTTGTCATCACCAAAGCCGACTGCAGATTTCTAGAGCCAACTCTCTGCACGTTTTTTAGCCTTTATGATCCTTTTTAGTGCATTCCAAGTTCACTTACTTTTGTAATCTTTTGAAAGTTCAACTACACACTTAAATGAACAAACAAGTCATTCAAATGTGTTTTATAATCATCAAAATCTTAAGTACAACAAATTTAATTTAATATGAATTTTCCTTTTAAAAATCTTTCGCATTAAACCTTAAAATTTTATGAGAAATAAAAATTATAAAAAATTTTGATATTTTTAAAAATAAATCGAATAAAAATCAAGTTATAACAAGAAGTACTGGATAGTAACTACTAACTAGGAGTTGGGAACTTGAGAGAGACTGAGAAAAGGTGTTGTAAGGTGTGGCTGGCTTGGGATACAATTGCTGGTGTAGATTGGCTAGTGACGGTGCAATCTACGATAGGGTGTTCTGGAGATAAGAGTTTGAATATAGAAGGGTTGGAATCAATGGGGTGAATAAAGAATATTGGAGGACAAAGAATCAAATAAAATGCCTTTCGTTCCTTTTTGTTTTAAATGCTAAAGTAAATAAAAGAAAACCAGAAAAACGAAAATTCTTATTTAGAAAACCTAGAATATCAAAGATGCATTTTTAAAAAAAGAGAAACTAGCATACGAAAATATAAAACAATGGGATTTTCTAATTTGACAAAGGTTAAATCTTATTAATTATAATATTTATAATTAATTTTACATAAATTTTTATACAATATTCAAATAAAATAGAATATAAAATGTAAAAATATAATATAATATAGTATTTATACTCAAATTTATAAAAATGTATGAATTTAATATAAAAATTTATATAAAACTAATTAAAAAACCTTAATTAATAAATTTTAACTTGAAGGTTAGATAAACCCTAAAATAATGAGAAGAATTGCGGAAGCAACAACGGGAACCCAGGAACTTATGCCTCATTGGAGATATAAAGCTCTGGTACCACTGTTAAGGTTTAAAGTGTGGAAAAGCAAGAAGAGAAAATTAAAAGAAAAACATTTTATTATTATTGAGAGATGTGTCGAAGAGTTACATATGACAGCCTTTTATACAGGGTATAAGGTTGACAATAATAATATAAGGAAAAAACATTATTATATCAAAAACACCTAAATATAATCTACCTCTTTATATCATAATCAAGTATGATTTATTTAATTAATCAATTATTGACATCATTGAGGTTTGTTTGGTATAATAATTAAAATCTAATAGATAGTGAGTAGTGGTTACCAATAGCAAAAGGCAGATTGTATATAATAAATTTTGATTAATATACCTATTTGATTATATAATGATTACTGATTATTGTTTAACATTAAATAATTAATAAAAACATATTTAAAAGTAATTAAGTGTACTTTTTT